TTGTTGGGTCACCAAGTATCCCTCTCCCAATCTGACAAATGTGTGTGTGTGCCTGTGCTCAGTCATGTCCCACTCTTTTCGATCCCATGGACTGTAGCCCACCAAGCTCCTTTGTCCATGGGATTTTCCAGACAAGAATTCTGGAATGGGTTGCCATTTCCTACTCCAGGGGACCCAGGGACCTAAAGTGTGTCTTTTGCATCACCTGCATTGTCAGACAGATTCTTTACCACTGTGCCACCTGGGAAGCCCTAATCCGACAAATAGCCATGAGCTTCCCTCTTCCACCCCTTGTGGCTGTCGGTGGGTGAGGGGGATACTTCACAAGTGCCTTCTAAGGAAAGCTACCTTAAATAGTTCTCTCTGCATGCCACTACTCAGGCTTGGTACTACCTTGGTGAAGATTCCATCTGATGACCTCAGCCCTGGGCCCCAGTAACATTGTTGCCATAATCTTGGCTCTCTGTGCACTAATGCTGAATGGAAATATGGATGCAGTGTTTTGGGGGAGAAAGAAAGAGAAGCTTTATTTCTTTGCCTGGTAAAGAAGGAACAAGCCTACTAGCACCTCAAGAACTGTGTCCCACCCCTTCCCTGGGGAATTAACAGAGGTGTTATAGTTGGTGCTCATGGTCTGGGGTAGGTGATAATGATCAAAGTAATGAAGGTCTTACTTTATTCCTCTTGCTGCAGAGTTTTGAGACTGCCACTACTGGCGTCAGGCAACTTGGTGACTTGATCTGTTGTCTCTGGGGCTATTGGCCCATGACCGTCCTTTCTGAAAGGAAGAATTCTATAGGAGATTGTTACAAGGGAGTGTGGGGGAATGTGAACAGCAGGTGCAGGATATAACTCACGTAGAGTCAGAGCGTGATTAAGGAATTTTGTGAAAGACAAGCCTTGCTAGTGCACTGTGAATTGGTAGTAGTTAAAATAAATCTAGGATTGCTTAACTCTTTCAGGCCTGTTGATGCTGTTTCTCCAGCCTGTTCATTGTTTCCTTGTTTATTTTCCTTGTTTATCAGAAAAGTCTCATTTCTAGTTTAGAAAGAAGTCTCATTTCTATTTTTGCTGCAACAGCATGACGTGTGTCTTCCTGTTTGTCATCAGAGACTAGAAACGGTTTCTAGCCTGATCAGACCCTGACTGACGAGATGGCCTACACCATTGGGTTTTTATAATTCTGCTGCTGCTGCTGCTAAGTCACTTCAGTCGTGTCCGACTCTGTGCAACCCCATAGACGGCAGCCCACCAGGCTCCCCCGTCCCTGGGATTCTCCAGGCAAGAACACTGGAGCGGGTTGCCATTTCCTTCTCCAGCGCATGAAAGTGAAAAGAGAAAGTGAAGTCGCTCAGTCGTGTCTGACTCTCTGCAACCCCATGGACTGCAGCCCACCAGGCTCCTCCGTCCATGGGATTCTCCAGGCAAGAGGACTGGAGTGGGGTGCCATTGCCTTCTCCATTTTATAATTTTAGCTATGCACAAAGACTAATTAGTTGCCTTTTAATTCCAATTCTCAATTCTCTTAGAAAAGAGAAACTGATTGGCTTTGTTCATTTCAGGTTCTTGATGGGGATTTGAGGTGGGGAGAAGGGAGAGGTGATTGAAGGTTAGTTGGAAATATTTATTAAGAACTACATGAACAGCCCCCACAGTATCTGCTATAGGAACACATGGGGAGGGGAAGACTCAAATGGCCCATGTTTAGTAATTTTTATTATTAACATAACAATCTGTATTATATTCTCAATTATGTTTGTACTCAAAGTAACTGTTAATCTTTCTTATGTTCTTAATAGTGAAAGGCTTTAAGCATGTTGTTATCCCTGCCTGGGGTTAGCTGCATTTTAACAGTGGGTCTGGGAGATGGAAAGGTTTTAAAAAAAAAAAAATGTAAAATACCAGAGAATGAGAGAAGCTAGTTTTTTTTGAGCTGATTCGTACCTCTGACCTGTAGTTCTAGCCTGAGGGTGAGCCAGGTGAAGTCCTAGAATGAGGGTAGGTTTCAGTTCAGGCCCTCAGGGAGGGAGACACCAAGATGGGAGTGGACGTACAAAACTTTGAGAGAATACCAGTGAAGGATAAAAGGAAGGAAGCAGGGGCAGGGGGAGAGACCACGATGATGCAGGTGTGACACCTGTGAAAGTTCAAAGGGAAGGAAGGGAAGCTTAATTAAGAAAGCCCCAAGACTGCAGGCAGTTCTTTTTTTTTTTTTTCATTTATTTTTATTAGTTGGAAGCTACTTTACAATATTGTACTGGTTTTTGCATGTTTCATACATTAACATGAATCACCCATGGATTTACATGTGTTCCCATCCTGATCCCCCCTCCCGCCTCCCTCCCCATCCCATCCCTCTGGGTCTTCCCAGTGTACCAGCCCTGAGCACTTGTCTCATGTATCCAACCTGGGCTGGTGATCTGTTTCACCCTTGATAATTTATTTGTTTCAATGCTATTCTCTCCAAACATCCCACCCTCGCCTTCTCCCACAGAGTCCAAAATTCTGTTCTGTACATCTGTGTCTCTTTTTCTGTTTTGCATATAGGGTTATCATTACCATCTTTTTAAATTCCATATATATTCGTTAGTATACTGTATTGGTCTTTATCTTTCTGGCTTACTTCACTTTGTATAATGGGCTCCAGTTTCATCCATCTCATTAGAACTGATTCAAATGAATTCTTTTTAATGGCTGAGTAATATTCCATGGTGTATATGTACCACAGCTTCCTTATCCATTCGTCTGCTGATGGGCATCTAGGTTGCTTCCATGTCCTGGCTATTATAAACAGTGCTGCGATGAACATTGGGGCGCACGTGTCTCTCTCAGATCTGCTTTCCTCGGTGTGTATGCCCAGAAGTGGGATTGCTGGGTCATATGGCAGTTCTATTTCCAGTTTTTTAAGGAATCTCCACACTGTTCTCCATAGTGGCTGTACTAGTTTGCATTCCCACCAACAGTGTAAGAGGGTTCCCTTTTCTCCACACCCTCTCCAGCATTTATTGCTTGTAGACTTTTGGATAGCAGCCATCCTGACTGGCGTGTAATGGTACCTCATTGTAGTTTTGATTTGCATTTCTCTGATAATGAGTGATGTTGAGCATCTTTTCATGTTTGTTAGCCATCTGTATGTCTTCTTTGGAGAAATGTCTGTTTAGTTCTTTGGCCCATTTTTTGATTGGGTCATTTATTTTTCTGGAATTGAGCTTCAGGAGTTGCTTGTATATTTTTGAGATTAATCCTTTGTCTGTTGCTTTATTTGCTATTATTTTCTCCCATTCTGAAGGCTGTCTTTTCACCTTGCTTATAGTTTCCTTTGTTGTGTGCAGGCAGTTCTGAGACAGTTTGGCCAGACCCGTTGGGAATCCTTGAGCCAAAGCTGCCCATTAGAGGAAACCTGCCTTAGCCCAGGGGGAGTGTGGTCTCATGAACACAATGAGGGATTCAAGGTCAGAGAGAGTCTTATCTAAGTCATAGGGGGGAAGGATTGTTCTTTGCTATAAGCCATTTCCCAAAATACAACCAGGTGGGGGGATTTCCTAATAGTCTCTGTTTTCCCTGAGTACAGGTTCTGGTAAATTTCAATGTTGTCACTGCAAAGCCTGTTTTTAAGGCCTAGACTTGGAACAGACTTTTTATTTTAAAATTGTTGAAAGCAGTGACAGGTCCAGCCCACATCCAAGAGGAGATTACACAAGAGCATGACTCTTAGGGAGGCATGGTTCTGTGTGGGGCACCAAAATAACAGTGTTCCTCAGATGAACCTTGGACTAGATACAGTGAAATGTTACTGGCATATCTGAGGTGGCAGCTGCAATTGTTGGGTTGGATCCATCCACAGGTGTATCCACTGGTAGGTGCAGCGAAGAGCCCATCAACATTGCAAACACATGAGAGTAAGCTTTGATTTTCCTGCTTCTCAAAACCCTGTGTTAACACTGTTACACGTGTGTATGTGTGTGTGTTCAGCTGTTCAGTCATGTCTGACTCTTTGCAACCCCATGAAACCCTCCAGGCTTCTCTGCGCATGGAATTTTCCAGGCAAGAATACTAGAGTGGGTTGACATATCTTATTCGATCAAAATTTCTCTCAACAGGGGTTCTGTTGCTGAACATCATCTCAATATTCACTGGTTTAACAGTAATGATGACTCATCTAGGCAGAGCTACCAGTTAGTTTTTACTTTATTTAGTTGTTCCTGATTAAATCTGGCACAAGGAACTCACTTAACCTGTCCTGCTTTGACAACCAAAAGGGCCAACAGACAATGAGGGGACGCCTCTTAAGGGAAAGGTTTGTCTGTTCTCGGAACATCAGTCTTCCACCAGGGACCTTCCTCTGAAGCCAGCTAACCTTTGGAGATCTGACCTTTCTCTGCCTTGGTTTTCAGGACTCAACACTATCAATTTCCATGAGGCTCTTTGTGAAGATATGTAATAAAAGACCATAAATCTCTGTAACTAGGTGAAGCATTTACCACTCTAATTAGCAATCCCATTCAAAGCCTTTTCATTCAAAGGCTTTCAAATTGGGGGAACAAGCAAACAGCATCCTGCTGTTTAAATCACGACTAAAAGCAAGTGGAGGACAATAAAGCGCAGGATTTACGCAGTCAGTCATCAAACCTTTGCGGAGATAGCACAATGTTAAAGACATATACTGTCCTAAGTTATGAGGTAACATAAAATCCAAGCCAGGTACTGTAGTTTGTAAAAAATAACGTGTATTATTTCTCCACGGGTTATACTAAAGTGAACAGTGAAGTGAAAGTCGCTCAGTCGTGTCCGACTCGCTGCGACCCGAAGGACTGCAGCCCACCAGGCTCCTCTGTTCATGAGATTCTGCAGGCCAGAATACTGGAGTGGGTAGCCTTCCCCTTCTGCAGGGGATCTTCCTGACCCAGGGATGGAACCCAGGTCTCCAGCACTGCAGATGGATTCTTTACCAGCTGAGCCACCAAGGGAAGCCCCATACTAAAATAGGTATGCACAAACTACTACTGACTCCCAAAGCAGAGTAGGGTGCATCTCAGAGAGGAAGTGACAGAGGGGCTGGGTATTGAAGCATGAATAGGAGCCCACTCAGCTAGGAGGCCGTGTCCCAGGCCACAGGAAATGCAAATTCTCAGGTAGGAGGGCAGCCTTTCAGACGGCCTCACGCTGGGAAGGTGGCGGTGAGCAGGAGGCTCTGACATCCCGGGGGTGGGTACTCTCAGCCTCCAGCTGCGCGCCAGCAGAGCGGGGCCGCGGGTGTGGAAGGTAAAGAGGGCAAAGGGAAGGAAGGGGAAACGGGAGAGAAAGCCAACCGAGACCTCCCGCGCATGCGCGCCGGCAGCCGCGGCGGACCGCCCGGCCCGCGGCTCCCGCTCAGCCTCGCGCCTCGCGGGCCCCACAGGCCCCCAGAACGTCGCGCGCGCGCGCGCAGTGTGCGGGCCCGGCGGGCGCATGCGCACAGCGGCGCGGGCGCCCGCGCCCGGGGTGCTTAGAGGTGGAGCGCGCCGAGGGCGCGCGGCGGGGGGCGGCCGCCGTTACGGCGTGGGCGTGGTCACGTGGCCGCCGGCCCCGCGGCACCCGCCCCCCCCACCCGCGCACTGTTCCCTCTCTGGTCGGGTCAGGCGCGGCCGGCCCTGCGAGCGCCGGGCAGAGGCTGAGGGAGAGAGAGAGGAGGGGAGGAGGACTCAGGGCGTAGGAGCCGCGGAGCCCTCCCGCGCCACAGGTAACGCGAAAGGACGACGGCGCTGACGGCCGTAAAGCAGCTCGGGCGCCCTGAGCGCCTCCGCCCTCCTCCAGTGCAGCCCCCGCGGGCAGTCGCTCCCGCCCGGCCTCCCCTCAGCGTCTCGGGACGCGTCCAGCCCCCCGTCGCGCCGCCGCCGCCGCCTCCCCCCGGGCGGGCCTGAGGTGTCGCCGCCGCGACGGGGGCTCGCAGCGCCCCCCGCGTGTGCGCGTTCCGGGCGGGGGGCGGGAGACGGGGCTCCCTCGCCTCGGGGCGCGGGGCTGAGGCGCTGCCCCCCGGTCTGCCGCCCGCCTCCCCGCCCGGTGGGGTCTCGGGTGCGACTAGGCTGAGCGCCGCGGCCGGGCCGGGCTCCACTTCCTCCTTGGTCGATTTCCTGGTACCTTTCGGCCCCTTCGCGGCCCGGAAGCCAGACGGGCTCGGAGCCCCCAAACCTTGTAAAATTAAATTGCATTCTCTAGGAGAGAAGAAAGCCTTCCCTCCTCTCTCAGGAGGGAAACGTGAGCTTGTTTGAGTACGGCTTAAGTTTCCTTCACCTGTAGCAACATGCAAGTTGAGGCCTTTCAGGATGTGAGAAAAACTTTGCAGAGGGTGAACACTGATTTATTTTTTTTTTTTTGGGTAACACCCCATCCCACCCACCTCCTTATTCCTGGAAAAAGGAGCTCTAACCTCTACAACAATTTTTTGAGTCTACAGGTGACCTAAAATTTGTTCAGTACTACCTACTAAATAGTTCCGTTCCTAGGATATATGTTTTTAAAAGTTCACATCTTTTAGATTTTTGGGGGGGAATAATTTTCTGGAAAGTTTTAAACTGCTGCTGCTAAGTCGCTTCAGTCGTGTCCGACTCTGTGTGACCCCACAGACGGCAGCCCACCAGGCTCCTCCGTCCCCGGGATTCTCCAGGCAAGAACACTGGAGTGGGTTGCCATTTCCTTCTCCAGGAAGGCTTCACTAGCCAACTCCAAATTCTAAATACCGAAATTTTAGAATGCGTGTTGCACAACTTTGGGCCGGACTGGCCGGACGGTGGTTTTATTTCTAGACCTAGTCATTCTTTTTTATTTTTTGTCCCACAATATACAGCCCCAATATATTATCATGTATTCACTATATATAATAATATAAACATGCCGCTGTTTGTACACAGATACTGACTTAGCATTAAATGTAGGCATTGTTGAAAGTAAACTTTTGAGCACCTTTGATACCAGTGATAAAGAAATTAATTTATGTATTAATTGTCTTAAGGAACTTTTCTGATTCCATGTCTTGGTAGTTTTCATAGTTTGTCTCTAAATTCAGTTGTAAACTGGAGCATTTTTCTACAGCTGTTTGCTGTGGTTCTTCTCAAACTTTAATGTGCCTGGGAATCCCTTGAGGCTCCTGTTAAAAAATGCAAATTCTGATTCAGTAGATCTGTGTTGCAGCTTGATATTTTGTGTTTCTTATAAACTGCTTGCGGCTGGAGGAGGAACCATTCTTGAGTAGCAAGGATGTATATTACTTGTTTGCTAAGAAATGAAATATATCAGTGAATACGTGCCTTTTAATAATTCACTTTTGGTGTAGAGGTGGCTTGAGGTAAGAGACAAATGGCAGGATGAACTGAGAGAGCTTGTTTGGGAAATCCCTTTGCAGAAGAAGCCAAGTCCAGGTCCCAGGGGAAGGGATAGCAGAACTGGGAGAACTCCCTCAACGAGGAAGGGTGCAGGTACCATCTGTACATGCTGTGTGCTGCCTGCATCACCAGGCCTGCAAGTATTCCGTGGAAGCTTTGTGTACTTTTCCCTGAAGAACTTGCTCAGCAGTGGGTGGTTGGATCTTTAATCAACTTAAAGACTGCATCATACTCTTTGGGATGAAAGTTTCTTTTGTTGGTGAACGAATTGAGTGTGTGCTCCTTCTGTCACTTATTCAGATACAGCCTCAGCTGAGTAGCACATGCCTGAGCCTTGGAAGCAAACTTGTGAAAAATTTGGAGTCTCCACCTGTTGATTTTCCCCAAATATTAAAAAATGAAATTGAAAAGTTTACATTTAAAAAAATTAAATTGAAAAGCTATAGTTTTCACAGGTAATTTCATATAGTTCATGTACATAAAAATGGTTCTTAAGTGTAGAAAAACTTTATGGAAGTATAACATTAACTACTTTTAGCACTGTGATTTTTACAATTTTCATTCTCATCCTTACTCTACCGTTGTTTCTTTTCTTGTTAAATATTATGACAGTACTTTTTTTCCTTCCAGTTTTATTGACATAATTGATAAACAACACGGTAAAGAATATGCCTGCAATGTAGGAGACTTGGTTTCCATCCCTGGGTTGGGAAGACCCCTGTAGGAGGGCATGGTAACCTACTCCAGTATTCCTTCCTGGAGAATCCCATGGACAGGGGAGCCTGGTGGGTTACAGTCCATGGGGTTACAAAGAGTCAGACATGACTGAGTGACTAACACACTGTATAAATTTAAGGTGTAGTGCATAATGATTTAACTTACATCATGAAGTGATTATTACAGTAAGTTTAGTGAACATACATCATCTCATACAGAAAGTAAAGAAATAGAAAAAATTTTTTTTCCCATGTGATGAGACCTCTTAGGATTTATTTTTAACAGCTTTCCTGTATAATGTAAAACAGTGTTAACTATGTTTATTGTGCTGTACATTATATCCCTAGTACTTATTTGTCTTATAACTGGATGTTTGTACCATTTGTCTGTCTTCATCCAATTCCCCCATCCCTCTACTCCTGGCTCTGTTAACCACAAAGCTTGATCTCTTTTTCTGTAAATTTATTTTTGAAGTATAATTGACCCACAACACTGTTATTACCTGTTACACAACATCTAGTTGCAATATGTCACCCTACAAAGATATTATATAGTTATTAACTATATTGCTCACACTGTTCATTTATTTTGCAACTGGAAACTTGGAGCTCTTAATCTCTCTCCCTGTTTCATTCCTCTTCCCACCTCTCTTGCAACCACCTATTTGTTCTCTGTATGTATATACCTCTGTTTTGATTTTGTTAAAAATTAAATGGTCATTTGATTTTGTTTTTTAGATTTCGCATATAAGTGAAATCATGCAGTATTTGTCTTTCTCTCTCTGACTCATTTCACTTAGTATACTTTCCAGTTTATTTTGAATGGCAGGATTCCTTTTCATGGCTTATTAATATTCCATTTATGTTTTTGTTTTCTTCAGATAAATATCCTAGAGTGGAATTGCTGGATCTTTGGTACTTTTAATTTTTTGAGGAATCCACAAAGGTTCCTTTTTTCCCACATCCTCACCAACACTTGTTATTTGTTTTCTTTTTGATCATAGCCGTTCTGACTGATGTGAGCTGATATCTCAGTGTGGTTTTGATTTGCGTTTCTCTAATGATTAGTGATGTTGACCATGTTTTCATTTCCCTGTTGGCTATATCATCTTTGGAAAAAATATCTGTTGTGATCTTGTGTACATGTTTTGATCAGGTTGCTTTTAGATATTGAATTGTATGGGCTCTTTTTAAGTTTTGGGTATTACACCCTGTATCAGATAAATGATTTGGAAATATCTCCTATTCATTAGGCAGTGTTTTCATTTTATTAATAAATATGATAGAGGATGAGATGGCTGGATGGCATCACCGACTCGATGGACATGAGTTTGAGTAATCTCTGGGAGTTGGTGATAGACAGGGAGGCCTGACGTGCTGCGATTCATGGGGTTGCAAAGAGTCAAACACTACTGAGTGACTGAACTGAACCATCTTGTTGGGGCTGCTCCTTTGTCCTTGGACATGGGGTATCTTTTTTTTGGTGGGATCCAACATTCTCCTGTTGATGGTTGTTCAGCGGTTAGTTATAGTTTTGGAATTCTCACAGGAGAAGATGAGCCCACGCCCCCTCTGCCATCTTGGTAGCTCTGACTTGTCTGACAGCTAGAGTGGTGGTGTAGACCAAGAAGAGAAGGATGTAATAGAGGAAACTCTGGAAGACTGGTGTACTGGCATGGAACTCTTCTGACAGGTACTTGCTAGTCTAGCTAATCCCACAAATAAGAGGGATAACACCTGGCCTAGAGCCACAGAGATTACCATCTCCCTGTTGAGCACTTTGTGGACCCTCTGGTGCACACTGGCTAGGAATGAGGCAGACAGGCTCCCGCTGCTGCGCCGCTTCCCTCAGCAGGTTCTTGATGGTGGTCACCTCGTGGTTCAGTGAGGATCATTGCCATGGAGGCACGGCGTGGCAGTGATAAGAATGTCTGTGCCGGGGAACTGCGTGGAGGACATACTGGCATGGAACTCTTCTGACAGGTACTTGCTAGTCTAGCTAATCCCACAAATAAGAGGGATAACACCTGGCCTAGAGCCACAGAGATTACCATCTCCCTGTTGAGCACATTGTGGACCCTCTGGTGCACACTGGCTAGGAATGAGGCAGACAGGCTCCCGCTGCTGCGCCGCTTCCCTCAGCAGGTTCTTGATGGTGGTCACCTCGTGGTTCAGTGAGGATCATTGCCATGGAGGCACGGCGTGGCAGTGATAAGAATGTCTGTGCTGGGGAACTGCGTGGAGGACACAGTCCAGCGACCATGGCCTGCGGAGGCGGTGCTGCTGGCCAAGCAGTGAGGCACTGGTCATGGCAGACACCCTCTTCCCACAGCACAAGAGAGGGCTCTACACAGGGACATCTCCAGATGGTCAGTACAGAGATCAGATTGATTATATGCCTTGCAGCCAAAGATGGAGAAGCTCTATATCTTCAGCAAAAACAAGACCAGCAGCTGACTGTGGCTCAGATCATGAACTCCTTATTGCAACATTCAGACTTCAGTTGAAGAAAGAGAAAACCACTAGACCATTCCAGGTATGACCTAAATCATATCCTTTACAATTACACAGTGGAAGTGACAAATAGATTCCAGGAATTAGATCTGATAGAGGGTTTGAAGAGGGTCTGAGGGATGGAGGTTCGTGATACTGTACAGAAGAAGGTGACCAAAACCACCCCTAAGAAGAAGAAACGCAAAAAGGTAAGATGGCTATCTAGGGGGCCTTACGAATACTGAGCAAACAAAGAAGAGACGTGAAGAGCAAAGGAGAGTGGGAAACACGTGTCCATCTGAGTGAGTTCCAAAGAAAAGCAAGGAGAGAGAGAGCTTTCCTCAGTGATCAGTACAAAGAAATAGAGGAAAATAATAGAATAGGAAAGATTAAAGGTCCCTTCAAGAAAATTAGAGATACCAAGAGAACACTTCATGCAACGATGGACAGGTTAAAGAACAGAAATGGTACAGACCTAACAAAAGCCCAGATATTAAGAAGAGATGGCAGGAATACACAGAAGAAGTATACAAAAAAAGAAAGATCTTAATGACACACATAAACACAATGGTGTGATCACACACCTAGAGCCAGACATCCTGGAATGCGAAGCCAAAGGGGCCTTAGGAAGCATCACTTTGAACAAAGCTGGTGGAGATGACGGAATTCCAGTTGAGCTATTTCAAATCCTAGAAGTTGGTGCTGTTCAAGTGCTGCACTCAATATGCCAGCAAATTTGGAAAACTCAGCAGTGGCCACAGGACAGGAAAAGGTCAGTTTTCATTCCAATTCTAAAGAAAGGCAATGCCAAAAAATGTTCAAACTACTGCACGATTGCACTCTTCTCACATGTTAGCAAAGTAATGCTCAGAATTCTCCAAGCCAGGCTTCAACATTACTTGAACTGAGAACTTCCACGTGTTCAAGCTGGACTTAGAAAAGGCAAAGGAACCAGAGATCAAATTGCCAATATCTGATGGGTCAGAGAAAAAGCAAGAGTTCCAGAAAAACATCTGCTTCATTGGTTATGCTGCAGCCTTTGACTGTGTGTCTCACAACAAACCGTGGGAATTTCTTCAAGAGATGGGAATAGCAGACCACCTGCCCTGCCTCCTGAGAAACCTGTATGCAGATTAAGAAGCAGCAGTTAGAACTGGACATGAACAATGGAATGGTTCCAAAATGGGCAAGTAGTATGTCGGGGCTGTATATTGTCACTGTTTTTTTAACTTAGATGAGAGTACATCATGCGAAATGTTCTGCTGCTTGAAGCACAAGCTGGAATCCAGATTGCCAAGAGAAATATCAATAACCTCAGATATGCAGATGACACCAACCTTATGGCAGAAAGCGAAGAAGAACTAAAAAGCCTCTTGATGAAAATGAAAGATGAGAGTGAGAAAGCTGGCTTAAAACTCAACATTCAAAAAACTAAGATCATGGCATCTGGTCCCATCACTTCATGGCAAATAGATGGTGGCAACAATGGAAAAAGTGACAGTTATTTTCTTGGGCTCCAAAATCACTGTAGAAGGTGACTGCAGCCACAAAATTTAAAGATGCTTGCTCTTTGGAAGAAAAGCTGTGACAAACCTAGAAAGCATATTAAAAAGCAGAGACATTACTTTATCAGCAAAGGTCCATCTAGTCAAAGCTATGGTTTTTCCAGTAGTCATGTATGGATGTGAGAGTTGGACCATAAAGAAAGCTGAACGCCGAAGAATTGATGCTTTTGAACTGTAGTGTTGGAGAAGACTCTTGAGAGTCCCTTGGACAGCAGAAAGATCAAACCAGTCAATCCTAAAGGAAATCAATTCTGAATATTCATTGGAAGGACTGATGCTGAAGCTGTAGCTCCAAAACTTTGGCCATCTGATGCAAAGAGCCAGCTCATGGGGGAAAAGAAGCTGACTCATGCTGGGAAAGATTGAAGGCAGGAGGAGAAGGGGATGACAGAGGATGAGATGGTTGGATGACATCACCGACTCAATGGACATGAGTTTAGGTAAACTCCAGGAGTTGATGGACACGGAGACCTGGCGTGCGTGGGGTTGCAAAGAGTCAGACACGACTGAGTGACTGAACTGAACTGTTATCTTTGTCTGGCCTTGGTATCAAGGTAATGTTGGCTTTATGGAATGGGTTCAGAAATGTTTCTCTCTGCAGGTTTTTTTGGAATAACTTGTGAAAGATGATAACTCTTCTGGAAGGTTTTGGAAGGATTCATCTATGAAGCTCTCTGATCCTGGACTTTTATTGTCAGGAGTTTTTAAGTTACTGATTCAGGTTCATTAGTGCTAATTTATTTGTTTATATTTTCTATTTCTTCTTGTTTTGTTTGGGAAGTGTACCTTTCTAAGAACTTGTCCATTTCTTTTCAGTTGCCCATTAATTGGTGTAATCCATTATGATTCTTTCTCTGGTGTTGGTTGTAACTTTTTTTTAATTTCTGATTTCCATTTGCATGGAGTACCTTTTTTCATCCTCTTAACTTTCAGCCTATGTGTGTCTTTACATCTGAAATGAGTCTCTTTTTAGGCAGCAGGTACATGGGTCCTATTTTGTGTCTATTCAGCCACTCCTTTTGTTTGGAGCATTTAGTCCATTTACATTTAAAGTTATTATTCATAGTTGTGTACTTATTGCCATTTTGTAGTTTTCTGTTTTTTTTTTTAATAAGTTTTTGTTTGTTTTTTTCTCCTTTTTGTTTGATGACTATCTTTAGTGTTATTTTTGTGAGTCTTTGCATGTGTATATAGAATAGACTTTTGGTTTATGAGTAACCTAGGGTTTATGTGTTTGTATCTATATATGTATACACATTTTTATCCTATATATATAATTGTTTTAAATTGATGATCTTTTAGGTTCTAATGCATTTTAACAACCTGGTATTTTTAATCCTCTCCCTCCAGCTTACTGTTTGTGATGTTGACATCATGTTTTACATCCTTCTGTTTTGTTGATCCCTTAACTATTTTGGTTGATTTTAACAATTTTTGTCCTTTTACCTTCCTGCTAGCTTCATAAGTGGTTGATTGGCCATCTTTACTGTTTATTTGCCTTTACCAACAAGTTTTCCTTGTAATTTCCTTCACATGTTAGTTTGTAACTTTTTTTTTTGCTTAGTTGAGTCCTTGTAACATTTCTCATAAAGCTCTTTTTGTGGTGCTGAACTCTTAGCTTCTGCTTGCCTGTCAAACTTTTGTTATCTCCGTCGTATCTGAATGAAAGCTTTGCCAGGTAGAGTATTGATTCTCCTTTTAAGTATATCGTTCCACTTCTTTGTAGCCTGTAGAGTTTCTGCTGAAAAGTCAGCTTATAGCCTTATCAGACTTCTCTCATATAACTTGTTGCTTTTTCCTTGCTGCTTTTAATATTTTCTCTCAGTCATTAGTGTTTGGCGTTTTAGATACTCCGTGTCTTGGTGTGACCCTCTGTGGGTTGGTCCGTTTAGGATCCCCAGTGCTCCCTTAGGTTTGATGTCTCTTTCCTTTCCCAGGTTAGGAAAGCTTTCAGCCATTACATTTTCAAAAGTCTTATTTTTCTCCTCTTCCCCATCTGGGACCAGTTTAACCTGAGTGTTGGTGCACTTGATGTTACTCTAGCAGTCTCTTAAACTTTCCTGACGTATTTTTCTTTTTTCTCTTCACCTTCAGTGATTTCTGCTAGTTTGACTTCCAGCTCACTGATCCGTTCCTCTGTATCATTTAGTCTACTGTTTATTCCTCCTACTGTATTTTTCATTTCAGTTATTGTATCTTTCATTTCTAGTTCTCCTTTATATTTTCCAACTCTTTGTTAAAAACTTCTGACTTTCTATTCTGTTTATTTCGTGGTCTCCTGAGTTATTTGGTCATCTCTATAATGATTGATTCCCTCGTGGCTCATCTGGTAAAGCAGGTTTTACTGCCTGCAATGTGGGAGACCTGGGTTCCATCCCTGGGTGGGGAAGATCATTACTTAACTCTTTTTTGGGTAGGTTGCTTATCCTCACTTAGTTCTTCTGGGGTTTTATTTTGTTCCTTCGTTTGGAACATATTCTGCTGTCACCTTATTTTGCCCAGTTTGCTGCTGTTATGTATCTGATAAGTTCTGATCTTGGAGAAGAGCCCTTTTGTAGGAGACATCATGTGTCCCAGCCCTGAACTCCCTCTGGTCACCAGAGCTATGTGCTCTAGGCGTCACCTCTGTGGGCTGTGTGCATCCTTTGGTGACGAGCTGACCGCTTTTGGTGGTCTGGTAGGCACGACTGGCCCCTGGCCTGATTGCTGGGACTGTGTCATGAGACAACTGGCTTTGGGTTCCTGGAGGTCCTGCAGCTAGTGCTGATTCACTGGTGGGTGGAGCTGGGCGCCCGGTGGGTGTGGTTCCAGGGGTCCTAGCACTGGAGTCTGCTGGTGGGCAGGGCTGGCTCCTGACATGGCCAGCTTTGAGGTCTGAGGTGCTCCAGGGGGCTGTATTGCAGGGTGACTGGCTGAGGGGTCCAGGGTGTTGTGGAACTTGGGCCCTGGGGCCCCTGGACCAGTTCTGTGCTACTGATGGGTAGGGCCAGGTTCTGCGTTCTCCAGTCAAAGGGCTTTGGGTCCTGGAACGGGTGTGTGCCCACCGGTAGGGGTGGGACAGTTCCTGACACAGCTCTCTGTGGAGTCTGGGTTCTGAAACTGCTGTTGGCCTGCTGGCGGGTGGGGCTGGGGCCCAAGATGTCCTTGAGTCCCCCGGTGGGGGGTGAGTCCGGAGTTTGGGGTTAGTGCTGGCCCACTTGTGGGTGGGGTGGTGTGACAGTACTTCTAAGTGCCAGGCACTGTCCTGAGCAGTTCATGTATCTTAATTCATTTGATCCTCACAAGAACCTTGAAGGAAATTGAAGCAGAGAGAGAGTAAAAGTCATATGCTAACACAGAGCTGGGATTCTGACCAACTCTAGAGTCCATGCTTTTAACAGTCTTTTCTTTACTGCATTTTAGAAAAAATAAATCAGTGATACTCTTAAATCCCCCTTTGCTAGTAGTACTGTTGAGAATTAAGAGGTTGACTTTGATTTTCATTTGTCGGTAACTTATTGTACTAATGAAAAAGATGAGGATGACTTTCATTTTAAAACTCAAATTTGTCATTCTTTTTTCTGTAATTCACCCACTTCAAACTAACTGCCTCAGTGCTTGTAATTTTCTCTTTATGAGATTGAGATTTGCGGTGGTTTGTCTGTGCTTTTCTGCTGGACTAGTCTCTTAAGTCTGTGTCATTGTTAAAAGTGAAAGTGGTGCCTCTTTCCTTTTGAACCTGCAAGTTTTGAATCCTTCATTTCCTGCCAGTGCCTGTCTGCTCTCCCCACTCCCCCTCCATGTATACATGGTAGACTTATTATTCTAATATTGAAGGATTGACTGGGTTACAAGCTTTTTATTTGGTCAGTAGGACAGTTAGAAAATAAGCTTTGGTCATCATTACCATGCTGAACACTGAGAAGGTAAGAAGGACAACCCCAGAATAATGAATGATATTTCAAATTGAGTAATTTGTGTTTTGTAAAGAAATGTCTGTCATCTGTCCCTCATCCCGTTCTGTCTCAGACCACTGAAAACCATCCCATGTCATCACTGGTCTGGGGAACGGTGCTTGTCCAGCCGCTCTGGGCCAGTGAACGTGGGGAGGTCATTAAAGTGGCAGTGCGGTGCAGTGTGTGTCCTGGAATTTGAGAACTGAGAGGCTGCGAATGGGCCTTGTTGTGGGAGGAGAAAATAATTGGGGAGGCAGAGTGTGGAGAGAGGGTCCGTGGCTGATCTGACGGCATTAATTTTCTATTAACTGGGATAATAGTGAGTTTTGAGAAGGAAATCAGTATGACAGCAAATCTGTATTGTGCATGTTTTTCCTACACTTGTTTTTAATAGCGGTACCTCTCATAATGCCCTGCTGGCCAGTTAACTTGGCTGTACAGTGCCTCACTTTTCTTATCTTTTAAGTGAGGGTAGTGATAGAAGCTACCTTACAAAGTTGTTTTGAGGATTAAATGAGTATATGTGTGTTTATATGTGTGTGTGTAAACACATAAATTATGCAATATACGTGGGTTATCGGAGAAGGCAATGGCACCCCACTCCAGTACTCTTACCTGGAAAATCCCATGGACAGAGGAGCCTGGTAGGCTGCAGTCCATGGGGTCACTAAGAGTCGGACCTGACTGAGCAACTTCACTTTCACTTTTCACTTTCATGGATTGGAGAAGGAAATGGCAACCCACTCCAGTGTTCTTGTCTGGAGAATCACAGGGACGGGGGAGCCTGGTGGGCTGCCATCTTTGGGGTTGCACAGAGTTGGACACGGCTGAAGTGACTTAGCAGCAGCAGCAGCACATGGGTTATACCTGTGCTGTTCTTTCATATGTAAATATTGTATACCATTGGCAGGGGATGGGTTCCGGGACCTCTCTGGATACCAAACTCTGTGAATGCTCAAGTTGCTTATATAAAATGCATAATATTTGCGTATAATATACACACATCCTCTCAGATACTTTAAATCATCTCCAGATTCTGTGTAATACATATAACACAATGTAAGTACTATGTAGTTGGTTGTCAGAATCCAGCCTACATATAACACAATGTAAGTACTATGTAGTTGGTTGTCAGAATCCAGCAAAGTCAATTTTTGCTTTTTTGGACTTTTTGGAGTTTTTTTTTCCCTGAATATTTTTGATTTGTGATTGATTGGATCTGCAGTTGCAGAACCAGAGTATATGGAGGACCAACTGCATATACATAGACATGCTTAGCTAGTACCTGGCATGTGGTTAGCGCTATTGTGTAAATGTTAGAAATTATATTCTACTGTGGTTAATCTGCAGTGGTTGATCATATCCACATAGTCAAGACTGACTATTTGAGTGAGCTTAATGGAAATTGTATATACATTTGGTATAACATTGTGTGGGCTGAGAAAATAGAAAGTTTATACTTTCTGGATGAAAATACAAAATTGATATAGCAATGATTTTATTCCTTTGGTGAATTAACTATGAATAAATAAGGTTTGGCAGCTCAGATCTTTAAAAACAAGGGAGTAAAACTGTGGAAATAATAAACATGTCTTTGGTGGTGGTGTGAAAGGATCAATGTAAAATTTTCAAGTGTAGTGTTATGAAGCCCAGAACAAGATAATCTTTTTCTGAAGGCTTCTCTGATATAACTTTACCTTCCTTGGTTGACTTGTTTGTTCCTTGATAAAAGCCATCTTTCTTTGCATCCTCCAAACCTGGTCTGCAGTCCCTTATCCGAAACCCATAGTGGCGTGTGTGTCTCAGAAGTAAGTTTTTTAAATTTAGATGGTTAATTTTTTGCATATGCTGTATGTCTTAAAACCTCCTTTAGATAGGAACAGTCAGTCCATAATCATACACCTTAATTTTTCCAGCAAAATGACAAGTATAGGATCTGTGTGTTAGCATTTCATATCTTTATCTAGTATGGAGTCTGGCATGCAGTGGGTGCTCGTTAAATCTGTTTCAATGAAAAACATCTAAAGATAATATCATTCAGTCATTTTCTCTCTTGCATGTGGTATCTGTGGTTGACTCAATGAAAATATTTAGTGATTATAGATTTATTATTTTTTTTAAAAGTCAGTTGCCTAGGAAAGGTGGTTATTGGATTAACTTTTTGAAACAATGACTTGAAATAGTCATTACAGATGATTGCAAATTCTCATAAATTTGTGTTGACAAGAATGCTGATCTTGACCTTTTATGGGTCATAAAGTCTACATATAGAAGAATGATTTACTTTTAAAAAATTGATTGTTGTTTGTGATAATTATGATAAACTAGTTGTGGTGTATCTATCTAAAGAAAGTGCTGTGTTGAGTGACTGTCTTAGGTCAAATAATCTAGATGGCCATAGGGAAAAAAGTTCCCCCCACCCCCCCATTACAAAAAGTGATGCTTACTGTGGACATTTTATAGAAATGAGTGATCAAAAATAATCTCCTGGGACCTCCCTGGTGGTCCCATGGTGAAGACTCTGCTTTCTAATGCAGGGGTGCAGG